TCTAGTCCAACCTAGAAAATTTTCTTTTGATGTTGCAAAGTTAGACTTAATTTTTTACCAGTTGTACAAGGATGGTCAGATTAAGCTGTCTAGGGGGCATAGTATCCCCCCCCCCCCCAGAAGTTAAAAGTAAAACATTATTGCAAGTGGCATAATAGTATGTCACATGTACTAATAGTTGTGTGGTTTCGTAATATTTTGCAGGATGCGATTGACAAGGGATGCATCAAGTTCACAGGCCCTAAGAAAGATACCATGACAGTGGATACTGATCCATTCCCAAATGTTGTGGGCATCAACATGGTCAATCCTGACTTTTCAAAGATTGACTTGCCACGCTTCAAGCTGGTGCTGGATACAATACAGCAGCCAAGTGGCAACTCCAATGTAATTGTACAAGGTGACTCATCATTAACTGGCAGGCAACGAATTCTTATTATTTAGCGGTGAAACTTTAGCGCAGGTTCAAACAAGCAAGCAATTAAACAGTTGTTTTCAAGTCGAGAGAGGTCACCCGGATATGGTTCCCCCTAGACTGCAGTTAAGCCGGATTGCAATTTACCAAGTTCAGTTTTACTGATAGTTATACTGCGGGAGGTTCTTAAGCAGTCTGTAGTCTCGACTAAAGGTCTCCAGACCCTCTCAATCTGAGTCCCTAGCGGGCGACTAACCTCCACCGGAGTAAACAGATTGAGGCCCTAACAAACCAAACCTCCACTACCGAAGTAAATTTGGTATAGAATAGTGAATTGGCTCCTCGACTAAAGTCGCCAATTCACTACCTTCAATTAAGGGTGCTCTATCAACCTAGGCAGATATTCGCTTTCTAGGTTAAAGCAGAAACAACAAGAATTTGATCAGGATTCATGCCATTAAATCATTCAAACCTCAATTGAATATAATCAAATCATAGAATCTGTACTTGGGTTCATACAATCAGACCTAACATACAAATCTAGGGTTCTCCATATCCAGATGAATAAGAAAACTACTCCATAGAGAGAGATGGAAAATCTAGCTCAGATGCGGAAACCATACTGTGAAGGATGATAATCTGCTTCTGGCACTCAATCGGATCTTCTCCAAGCTCAAGTCGAGCTCCAATGGTGATGAAGATCGAGCTAGGGCACTTGGGAACTCTGGTTCGTCACTTTATCTCTCTAGGAATCGCTCTCTCTCTCTAAAACTTGGAACCCCCTTCTCTTTTGGCTCAAATCTGCCTAAAAGGCCGACCCTGGGCAAAACACGGTCGAGGGCACGACCGGGCTTTGGTTTTGCCCGCCCGTGTTTTGCCCCATGTTAAAAACACGCCCGCGTCGGCCAAAACACGGTCGTGCCTAAATATGGACACGACCGTGTTTTGCTTTAGGCCAGCCCGTGTTTTGCTTTTCCATCAGTTCAGCTCTCGGCAATAAAAACACTGCGTGCCTGTTTGTGTACACGGCCATGTTTTGGTTTAGGCCAGCCAGTGCTTTGGCCCCAGCTCGACCGAATGACTTCCAAATGCCCCGAAACTCGTGCTTAGCCTTTCCTTCGACGTCTGGGACCTGAAATATGACAAAGTAGCACAACCCGGCGTAAAATGGGCCAAAAATACACGACTACTAGTCGTAAACGGATAAGAACTAAGGGTGCAAACATTTGAAAATACATCGTTATCAAATTCCCCCACACTTAACCGTTTGCTTGTCCCCAAGCAAACCTAACTCAAACCAATGCAACTCTCCAGACCTCTATAGCAACAAACAACCCCGATCGTCGGTAGAGGATTTTCTAGATCATAACGCAGCTTACGAGGTCAACTGGTCTTCTAAGACGTCCATTATCTCTCTCAATGCGAGTACTAGACTCAAGCCAAGATCATGAGAAGAAGTAGAATTAAGACAGTCAGTTTATGGATAAAGGAACTCACACCATTCACAATCAAGGACTCGCGATACCGGGGTTCTCTTTCACTTCATTTCACCATTGGAACCCCTTTTTCACTTCCATTTTACTTTTTTTTCATTCACTTAGCGGTGGTTCCAACTGCAGTCTTTCGCACGGTCGACCCTTATTAGTCGAGCAAGAGCAATTTCTGTACATCTGGCGCTCGCCAAAGTACTTCTTTTAACTCCCTTTCCTCAACTCGTGTGGAGGGTCAATGAAATTAAGGGGGGTCAAAAGCTCTATCCGTGCCCTTAAAAACACATCCTCAAGTAGGCAAACCGTTCAACGGGTGGAAGTTTTACTTGTACTAGAGACGGCTTAGCTTCACCTTGTAGGAGTACCCCACTAAGGATCACTAAAATCTCTTCCAAACCCCGATTTTTGTGCAATGAACGGTGCCGCACATGTTGGGCTTACCCCATGTTTAAGATTTAAAGATTTTGACATGGAGGATCAACTGCATTTCATTTTTCACATGAGCACCCTATTCGATACACGAGTCCATAACACAATCCAAATAGAGTCACCATTATCACATGAATTCAACGGTCCTAGCTCCACTAATTCACAAAGTCAACTGGCACAGTAGAGAGCTAGATAGGAAAAATCTTATACTTCAACATCCTCCATAGTGATACACTACCTCCCTAGGTTGCACATTATTATAGAGACTATCAATTCAAAGCATACTGAGTAGGCAATTTGCAAGGAAACACGTACTTGGAGCCCTCAAATTTAAAAATTTGGACAGTGGACTAGGCTCCAAGCACACAAACAGATCTAATGCAGTCAAAAGAGAAACATCCCCCCACACTTAAGATCGACATTGCCCTCAATGGAGAAGAGGGAAGGATAAAGGGGAACGATGCTACCGGTGTGCACGGACTACATGAGACTGGAAGCGGACCAGTCTGAGTGAAGAGGACTAGAGAGGGGACCAGTCAGGGACAAAGCACAGCTAAAGGGGATATAAGAACTAAAACACAATCCGTTAGGTCCAATTGTCAGCCCAATAATACATCATCCAAAACAAAAGAAAACAAACCAAAACCAAACCAGTTTACTATCCGACCCAAAACAAAAGGAATAAACGAAAATCGTGGTGGGGTTGCCTCCCCACCAGTGCTTCTTTACCGTCTTTTAGCTGGATGCCCATGGTGGATACTCAGCGGGGTGCAGGAACAGGTGCCTCCAAGAGCGGATCCACATCGCTCTTGAGGTACAGCTTCAGATTGCGGCCATGCACCAGACGGGTGCGACCACCAGCATTGGTCAAACTTCTTGATCGACACTCTAGAAAACGGCCAAGTGTAACCACTTCCTAAAGCGTAGTATAGCGGGTTTGGGTTTTAATGTCAACCCGGGTCCTAGATGTGATGACTACTCAGCGAATTCTTATTATTTGACGGTGAAACTTTAGTGCAGGTTCAAACAAGTAAGCAATTAAACGGTTGTTTTCAAGTCGAGAGAGGTCACCCGGAAATGGTTCCCCCTAGACTGCAGTTAAGCCGGATTGCAATTTACCAAGTTCAGTTTTAATGATAGTTATACTGCGGGAGGTTCTTAAGCAGTCTGAAGTCTCGACTAAAGGTCTCCAGACCCTCTCAATCTGAGTCCCCAGCGGGCGACTAACCTCCACCGGAGTAAACAGATTAAGGCCCTAACGAACCAAACCTCCACTACCGAAGTAAATTCGGAACAGAATAGTGAATTGGCTCCTCGACTAAAGTCGCCAATTCACTACCTTCAATTAAGGGTGCTCTATCAACCTAGGCAGATATTCTCTTTCTAGGTTAAAGCAGAAACAACAAGAATTTGATCAGGATTCATGCCATTCAATCATTCAAACCTCAATTGAATATAATCAAATCATAGAATCTGTACTTAGGTTCATACAATCAGACCTAACATACAAATCTAGGGTTCTCCATACCCAGATGAATAAGAAAACTACTCCATAGAGAGAGATGGAAAATCTAGCTCAGATGCGGAAACCATACTGTGAAGGATGATAATCTGCTTCAGGCGCTCAATCGGATCTTCTCCAAGCTCAAGCCGGGCTCCAATGGTGATGAAGATCAAGCTAGGGCACTTGGGAACTCTGGTTCGTCACTTTCTCTCTCTAGGAATCACGCTCTCTCTCTCTCTCTCTCTCTCTCTCTCTAAAACTCCGAACCCCCTTCTCCTTTGGCTCAAATCTGCCTAAAAGGCCGACCCTGGGCAAAACACGGTCGAGGACACGACCGTGCTTTGGTTTTGCCCGCCCGTGTTTTGCCCCGTGTTAAAAACACGCCCGGGTCGGCCAAAACACGGTCGTGCCTAAATATGGACACGACCATGTTTTGCTTTAGGCCAGCCCGTGTTTTGCTTTTCCATCAGTTCAGCTCTTGGCAATAAAAACACTGGCGTGCCTGTTTGTGTACACGGCCGTGTTTTGGTTTAGGCCAGCCCGTGCTTTGGCCCCAGCTCGACCGAATGACTTCCAAATGCCCCGAAACCCATGCTTAGCCTTTCCTTCGACGTCTGGGACCTGAAATATGACAAAGTAGCACAACCCGGCGTAAAACGGGCCAAAAATACACGACCACTAGCCGTAAACGGATAAGAACTAAGGGTGCTAACATGTGCAAATACATCTTTATCGGCCACGTACTGATCCGGCTGATGAAGAAAAGTTGTGTGCACAGTGCAAAGGGAAGCTGAATCTTGGTGGAGATAGACCAACTCAATTGGTCCATCAAAGACTTGGTTCATAGAGACCATTCAAACCAAGGTATCCACCATATGATCGTCAGGTGAAAGGAGTACGTGCACCTGCATGGGGAAGAGGGCAACGTAGGCAATGGGTTGCTCAAAATGCCCCACCTTTTAAAAGTGCACATTTCAAAAGTGCTTCTTTTGGACTCTCCCTACCTTCCAGAAGTTCACCACTTGTTAGAAGAACCTTCAAGATGCCTAATGTGCCATCAAGTGGATGACACACTTATGATGTTCGTCATCAACAACCAATTGACGTAGATGGGATGACAAGGACACAGTATAGAAGGTTCCTTCGCAAGAATGCTCAAAAAAGAAGATTTACAACATGCATACCAATGTTCGTGTGAACAACTCTGTTGCCACTGGTCTCAAGGTCACGTTGTCTGACAGTGGCAAGAGTGTGGAGAAGAATGATGAAGCCCCAGAAAATGATGGGTATAATGCAGAGCTGGACGAGTCATTCATGGAAGAAGAGATGTTGGAGTTGGAACATCCAATGTCAAAGTTTGACCGGAACAACAAGGAGGATGATCATAACACATCCACAACCATCCAGTTTGGTAGTTTGCCACCTGTTGTGGTGAATAACTACATTTTTTCAATGATCTTTCACTTTGAGCTGGATGGTGAAAGAGGAGATGGTGAATTTGAAGTGGAGGCTGAGGAACTAGATGAAGCAAGCCATGAGCAAACCATTGCAGAGTTGGCTAGTGGATTTGCCGGGCTAGATTTGGATGGAGATGATGAAGAGTCGTCAGTTGCTGAACTGGTTACTGAGTTTGCAAGTTTGGCACTAGAGGATGAGCCGGGGAGTGTCATGATGGCCCGTACTGGAGCAAGAATCAACTTGTCTGCTGAGACAGCAAGGCAACACAAGAGTTCCTGACAGATCCTAAGAGAATTTTATGAGGCTGGACACAAATATGTGGGAGTACTTGGTGAGGATGATGGTCGGTATCCCTACTACGTACTGTACCAAGTACTAGAAGGATCCACAAGCCTACCTATTGATAACTCTACATGGGGTTCATAATTTGAGGAAAAAGATAACTCTGTGGTTGTCGAAGAGAAGCTAAACGAAAAGAGTGCTATGCATGTGGCAACAAGAAAGGGGAAAGAGGTTGTCATTGAAGGATCAACATTTGAGGAACCAAGTCGAGTAATGGTGTTCAATGAGCCGGATGCAAAGATGCTTCGACATCTCACACCATTGTACATAAAAGCTCAGATTGATAATGTACCAGTGTCAAGGGTGTTGGTTGACAATGGTGGTGATGTGAATGTGATGCCCACACGTATGCTCAGGAAGTTGGGAAGGAGTACAAGTGATGTCATCCCAACAGAAATGTTTGTACCAGCTTCAATGGTGGTTCCACCACTGCAAAGGGGATACTATCAATATTTGTTAGAGTGGGTAGCCTAGAGAGAATGGCTTCTTCCTTTGTCGTTGATGGAGCAATCAGCTACAACGCTTTGCTTGGTAGAGACTGGATACATGCTAATAAGTTATAAGTGTGTGTCGTCATCGCTGCACCAGTGTTTAATGTTCTGGAACAAGGATGGTGTGGTCGAAGTGGTACGAGCGGACACCAAACCATTTGATGTTGGAGCCAATATAGCGGAAGCTCCCCTTTATCATGGGGATTTTGGCCCTCTAGAGATCAAGACAGTGGATGGTAGATTGGTGATGTCCAGTGCAAAGGTGTTTAGCAAACAATGTGTTGACCCTCTGTCTGAAATAATGCGACCATCAATGTTTGTTGTGGAGGGTCCACCCCAAGCTGAGACATCCTCCATGAATGAGTAAGCCACTCCATACAAGAGTGGCAGAGGAGGCCGAAATTACGGCCTTGCAAGAAAAGTTGGTCATATACCAATGTGAACAAAGGCTTATGTATATGAAGCATGTGTTGATGGCTGACTGTGTACCTGATGATGAAGTATTGGTGGAAGAAAAAGATCAATCTTGACACTAAGGAAGATCCACATCCAACTTTAATAAGTGCCAAGCCAAATCTGTGTGAGCTAGCCATAAGTAACATTTTGTTTTTCAGTTTAGAAGAAGAGGTATCGAACCACACGGTAACTATCCAAATCAATAAGTTGAATGGTAGCATCCAATCCAAACAGGGCTACCATCCCACTTCCTGTATGGAAGATACCATCCATGTTACAATAGGCCAGGGTTTGTCTTAGTGGTGTGACAATGGTTGGGTTTAAGTGATTTTATGAATGTTGTTGCTCAAGAAAAAATATGTTGACCATGATATAGTGATGGTTGGTGAGTAAGTTGCATAATTGGTCATGGGGTATGGTGACTCGGTAAAGAAATTAAGGCCACAAGATGGTGGGATTATGAACAAGATAGCAACTAATATGAGCATGCAAAAAGCAATAAACAGCACGGAAAGATTGGTGTGCACAGATTAGACAGGAGGCGATGAAATTGGTTGCAAGTTGTGTAATGCCAAATAAAGAAAGAAAGAAAAAAAACACCGCCTACACGCCGTTGATGGCCACCATACACAAAACAATAAAAGGGAGGGAAACGTTGTTTTGTGATTTTTGTATCAATACATGCAAACATAGCCATGTATAAAAAATCATCATGAAATGGTCGCAGAGAATGAACCACAACTTCCAACTTATATGTCCAATGATACAAATAAAGGTTGCCACCAACAGCAAGATAAACGAAGAGTGCTATCATGCAATTAATTCCAAAGCTACCCAAGCAGTTGAGCGAGCGGAAGCAAAGTGAAGAAAGGTAGCCCTGGTTTGGTGATTCGGGAAGGATTTGCGGAGTTGTTGTTGGGAAGCATCCCAGCTTGTAAAAGGTATGTTGGTATTTTAACTTATGAATTGTGATGGGCGAGAGCGTCGATGTAGCATGTCCTTGTAGGAGGAGTGTTTGTTCCTAGTAGGACATAGGTTGATAAGGTGTATTCCCTTTGCATAATTAGTCATATATAATATATAAAACATATTTAATATTTTGCATAACCACTCAATAGTCAAATGTTCCTTCCTTTTACACCAATAACTAATAAAACGCATAATTGTTCATTTTCTATATTTGTTATTGTAAAGTGAGGACAACAAAATATGAACTCTTAATTTAGATAAATATCACATTATGTTGGATGGAAACTTGATAGAGAATGAAATTTTAGCATCTGATAAATGCTAAGAGACTAAAACAATTCACAGAGACACGCTTAGTTCATACCCCACACCACTGATATATATTTTTGTTTGGTAAAATTATATTAGTGGTATGTATTTATGTTAATAATTAATTATGTGTTGATTGTTATGTTTTATTCATTATATGTATTATTAATTGATTCATTAAGAGAGAAAAAATTTCATGTTATATTTGTTAACACTATTAACCAATTAACCTATTGTATTAATTTGCCGTGTTTGATTGAAATATTATATTTTCATGATTATTAGAATTTAAGCTTAATCAACACCCATAGTAATAATAGACATGCCGAAAAAGAACATCAAATTCACCACCATTTTGCCAAAATAAGTAATTAGACCAAGAAGAGAGAGTTAACACACATTATCTTTTCCACCTTGTATTTCCTCAAAACTTTACAGTCTACACACAAGGAACTTTCAGCTTCTTTACAAATCACTCACTAATCTTTACAACCAAACCAACAACCCAATTAAATCTTCTTTTCCAAAATAAGAAAACCAATGAGAGAGATGGAGAATAAAAAATTAAGAAGAAGAAATCAAAGTAATGCAAGGGGATGAAAACCCTGCTCCCTTCTGTAAACACACCAAGCAAAGACCATACATATCCAGAAGGACAACCAAAGCAAGCTGTATGTAACATTTCAATCCTGTGAGGGAGTAAGAACCAACAAGCTGCTGAAAAACTGTACAGTTTCATTCCCAAATCTAACTGCTGCAATACCCGGCTTCTGTCAATGGCGTGTTCAACTCACTAGTCACTATGAAATCTGAACAAAGCACAAATAGAAGACGGGACAAAATGCAAGGCATGACTATTTATAGCACTCATGAACAAAGCTGAGAGCTATTGCTTCAAAACTAAGGCACTTACCACATGCTGGTTTAGACTTGAAGATGGATATAGGTTCTTTACAAAGAGCGGATCTTTGTAGCCAGGACGAAATCTTCATTATGTTCTGAAACCATTAACTTGTTGATGATCAACTCTGATATCTGTCAGAGGAACTTGTTGTTGTTGTTGTTCTTCTTCTTCTTCTTCTTCAATAATCTCATAATCTTCTTCTTCTTCTTCAGCATCTGGGAACTTACTCCTGTAGAACTCGAGCTCCGCTTCGAGATCTTGAATCACTCTCTCCTTCTCCGCGAGAAGGTCGTTCATCATCTGTAAAGCATCCATATCATACTCGGCTTGGTCTTCCATCACCCTCAGGCACTGCTGAGCTTCCATTTGTAGAGATGCCTTCTCTTCCTGCAGCCTAGTGATCATCGCCATGGCTTGATTTGCTGCAACTGCTGACGCATTCCTTTCTTCTTCGAGCTCCTTGTACAAGGCGCCCAGCAACTTCTTATCATGTTCCACCTGTCGTTTTAACCTATCAACCAAACTCTCGCCTTCGATTTCACTTACAAGAGTTCCATCAAGAGATAGACCCGACTCGTTCCTCTCCAGTGGCATTCTCTTTTGGAGCATCTGCACTTCACTGTTGTTTAAGGACAGCTTCGGGCTCATGGGTACCCTGGGACTCATAGATACTCTAGGGCTCAATGATTGCTCACGAACACCAGATGATAGCTGCGAGGCTAAAGTTCTTAAGTCTTCACTTAGTCGAGAAGAATCCTTTCCAAGCCATTGCTCAGCAGCAAGCAAGCCAGATAGTTGTCTTCCATTATTGGTGATAGCTAGCTTGTATGCATCGCCAAGGTCCAACAAGTTATGCCAGTTTGGAGTATTGTCCCCACTCGAAGCCTGATTTGAATCGGGACACATATCAGTTGTTGTTGCAGCAGCTTGCACTTGCTCAGAATCAGTTGCAGATGGCTGCCAAATTTCCTCCGTTCTTTTACCATCTAAACAACAATAAACAACAAAAAAAGCATGAGAATAACAACCAATAATATTCATCAGGACATACAAGGTGGTTTTGTGAAATCATAAACTTTGATAGGACTTAAATGGACATGCTTTCCATATTTTTTAAAGACAGAAGACAGAAGACACTTTTGAACTTACTGCTCTCCTTCAGTCCTTCAACAGGAGAAACCACTTCCTCCATTGGTGAGAGGGCATCATCTTCATCAAGCTTTCTCTCATTCCTTAGATCAAGAGGAAGCTTGCTCTCCCCTAATTGTTCCACGGCATTCTCTGTGACATCATCCAAAGGTAAAGCCATATCGTCTATGGAATTGAAGTTGCTCGATTTTGATGTTTCCACAACGATGGTTTCTCTTGCATCTGTATGTGGCGACACGTCCTCTGATGAAATGAACTTGTCTTCTTCTATTTTTGCTTTTTCTACATGATTGTCTCGAACAATGAAAAGAGAAGGATCCTCATTATCAAGGCAAATCAGTTCAGGGATCCCAGAGGGTTCAGCATTTTCAGCTTGCTGCCATTTAAGTTCTTCAGAATCGTGACCATTTGTTGCTGGAGATGAAAATAGCACTTCAGATTCGAAAATTGGGGACTCATCAGTTACTGAAACTGGCTGCATCAACTTCTCTAAAGTATCAACTTCAGGTGGAACGACACCCTGTGGCTCCATTGGCAAGCTTTCAAGAGAAACATCATCCACTAACAGATGGTTTTCATCGGCTGATGCATCTGCATCACCTTCCTTGTAAAATACCTGGCCTTCAGACGGCTCTCCTGCCACACCTTCAAGAGCAGCATCATCCCCAATTAATGGTTGGGTTTCATGAGCAGAGACATTTGAATTATCTTCCTCCTCATCAGAAATTTGGCCTTCAGATTCAGCATCAGAATCAACCTTGACCCCTATATACCCAACATGAGCTAGGGGATCCGAAGTGAAATTTCCAGCAAGACTGCTAATAAGTGGATCCATTGGTGCACATTCCACAGAAACATCCCTCATCAATGGTTGAGTTTCATGAACCGGAACCCAGGCTTCACATTCAGCATCAGAATCAGCATTAACCTCGGTATACTTGACATTAGATAAAGGATCCACCACATAAATAGAACTGCTGGCAGGCAAAGATCCATACCCCATCAATG